AATGAATCAAATACATAAACGATTTGACACTCATTTGATATCTGGCTTTATGTCGCTAGCATTTGTGGCTGTCTTTGGTAAATCCGAACGCATTCAAGAACGCCACCCCAGCCATCTTAGTCGCGAATTGACGAGACCCGGGGGAACGGCGACCACGGCTCATTTGGTCGAAACCGAGCATCGTGTCAGAATGAGTAAGGCGGTCAGGCTCATCTACACGATCACCGGAGTGAGATCGAAGCAAGTCAAGCATCGCTTACTGTCAACAGCTGAAGCGATCGCGATTCGGTTGAACAACCCCCTTGTGCGTTCAAAAACAGTCGGTCAGTCATAAACGCTAGAGTGACATAAAGACAGTTATCAAATGAGTGTCAAATCGTTTATGTATTTGATTCATTCGACAGTACAAATGACATTTGCAGAATGATTTGGACTCTCATACACCCCTTACTGTATTATCCATGGTATCCATGGTATCCATACATACGCACACAAACACAGCAATTATTTACGCCTATTGTATTTTCACGAATTATCTGACTTTGTGACCTATAAAAGAGTGCTGTATTTGGCTAGTAGATGAGGCAAGGAAAACAAGCTTATTTGCCAAACTGACTTCTTGACTTTTGTGATTATTGGAACTAAACTAATCCCGTGGTGGTTTGCGCAGTCATTACGTGATCCCTTCTTGAAGATCGGGACGATCAACGATTCACCGCAGGAAGAATAGATACGTTCCTTGGACCAAATGCTACCAATTAAGCTAGCAATCGAGTCGACAAGAGATTTACCGCCCACCTTAAAAAGAATACGGAGAAGCCCATCAGGTCCCGCTACCTTTCCTTTGAATGGCTTCGTACTTCTAAATCTTATGGAGGCCCATATGTAACCACCCATGGGGCCAATTGAACTGTTCACTAAAATACTCTGTCCAGCGATCAAGTAGTTCTTTTTTATTGTGAATAATCCACGTTTATCGCAAATGGTCTCACTGACCGGTATGCGACGACCTCCGATGCTGCGTATCAGGTGGAACGGTCTGACTGTTCCCTGATGCAGAAGCTACCTCCATCTCCCTACCTATTTGGGCCCACCAATTTTCGCGATCTTTCTTAAGGCTCTTCCTGAGTTGACATTGCAAGCGCCGCCGGTCCCTATGCTTATCCTGGCAGATTGGAATTCTTCGCTTTTGATCCCATAAGATTTCTGACTCCTGAGAGGTCTAAAGTTTTCGGCGAATTTCGGGCCCAGAAGCAAAGTTGGCTGCTGAGTGCATCACAAATATTATCTGATTCCACTGCTGGTCTACTACACGATGTCGTGGTTCTACTAGATCCTGTCCNACAGAACTAGTGCATGGTCCGACTCAATGCAGGTAGTCCAATGAGACCTGCAATTTTGTACTGAACCACTCCAACGGTAGCTTACAGCTGTGGTTAATATGGGTCAACTTTCCAGGTGAAATAGAACAACATGTAGCCGTTTGACGAGAGCTGTGTCGAAAGTTGGTGCTACGCTCACTGTAGTGGAGATAATGGCACAAATCCACAATTTATGGTCGGGTACATGAGCGAGCGGGTAAGCGACGGATGCGTCCACGCCTACCAAGGTTAGTTAACAAACATACAAGAGTAATCGAGGATTTCTCTCTGTCATTTCACACACACTGCGAATG